GCTCCTGGGCTGGTCAATTAACCATTTCCAGGGGGCGTGGGCCTTCGAGCTCGCAGTACTGGTACAGGTGCTTACGCGCCAGCTGGTCAAAAAACATCTCACAGTACGATCGTTTCATCAAGCATGTCTCAACCGAGCAAGATACCCCCCACGCCCGTGGGCCTTCGAGATCGAAGTACTGGTACAGGTGCTTACGCGCTAGCTGGTCAAAAAACATCTCACAGTACTACATCAAGCATGTCTCAACCAAGAAAGATACCCCCCACACCCAAACTAGGAAGTATCACGCTTCCCGACGATAACGACGCAACGAAGATATTTGGAGGAAGCAGGAAACGACTATCCGCATTTTTCACCAAGGCACCCAAGAAAGGCATTTCAAGATCGATGACCCCGGCGCCCGTACCCGTTACGCGGGACGAATACCCAAGCCAACATCGTCGGCGCGCTTCATCGATGGCCAACGAGCCCCCAAAAGGATCTTCGATCACCCCCACTGGCAGTCAGTAACGTTTCAGATGGTTGATATAATTGTTTCTTGACATACCCGATACATCCAGAACAAGCAAAAAGTCAGGTCCGGCAGTATTCCGCGAGTCGTGATAGTAATTCAAGGGCTCCGACTGAGATAAAATTGTCGTACATGTCCCAAACGGCGCCCCCGAGCCATTGGGTGCCACTTAAAGGCGCGTGTCCGCAATTGTCATCTTAGCAATGGAGTTCTTAATTAAGTAATATTTAGGTGCTCCACCGTCCACCGGAGTTCCCGGAACCATCGCCTTCAAAGAGGGTTCGTGTAATGGCTGGAATTATGAAACCATGCTAACCTTACGTCTACATATACATACAGTTGCGCTCAAGGACGAGTCCATCGTTTTGAGCTGGCCACTGGTACCACTCGCTGATCGACGACACTTACAACACCCCCTCGTCTATTACGACGTGGCATTCGACCCCCGGGAGGCGGCGAACGTCAGGGACAATCGCAACCTGAAATATTTTGCATTACCCCAAGGGGATCGAGAGCTTCCAGTTTCGACCCACTGCAAAGTCACCGAGATGGTGATTCACTGCCCCCACGTTGGTTCGCTTCTCGTGGAGCGTCCGGAGGGTCTTCGATGCATCGATGTCTTTTACGCCATATACTGCAAGTATCAGAAAAAGCCCCGATCGCACGAAATGCCGACTGCAGACAAGGCAAAATATCAGCGTGCGTTCGAACAGAGGTGTAACGACTGCCCAGGATTGGCGGAATATAACCGCACCAAGATCGGTTTCCTTCGCGTCGACCTGCTGAGGGGGAAGCGGATATTCGGCGGTCTGAAGCGGTCGAATGGCCGATGGGAGCTTCTGTTCGATACTCCGAGTCCATCCACATAATGTCTCGTGCACTCTAGTATCCGCAGTGCGGATTCTTGGCGCATTCAGCTATTATCCTTCATCCCTTCTGTCGCGCATAGAAGGATTCGGCTCTACCTGTACTTACCGTATCATAGATACGTGCTTTGAATCCCATTCGATCGCGCTGTGTAAACTGACGATAGCAGGACTACAACTAAGTTACCATTTCATATATCACATCCCGTCTATCCTAATCCTACACTATCTTGCACTTGTACATTTGTAACTACCCGTCTGCAATGCCATAAAAAATCGCGGTAAAAGAGCAAAAGATTTTATGTAGCGCGCGATGCGGGCTTTTTAGGTCGATGATCGTATCGTTCTAAGCTGGAGGATACGAGCGTGAGTGGGGGTGTGTCGTGAATATCTGGGCTTGCGCGCATGTATACGGTGTCGAGCGCGGATGTGGCGAGTCTCGCACAAGAGGTGTCGGTGCCGGGGGACGACGTATCGAGCGCCACCCATAAATACGTCGCGCCCGAAGACTTGTATCGCGACCATGTGGCGTACGTCGAAGCGTCGGGGGACCAAGCGTCGTATATCCTTCAACCGCCACCCCTTCTCCCTCTTCTTCATCTCCCTCTCCCAACCTCAACTCCCTCCCCTCAACAGTTCCTCACCCCGCCCTCGCCGCCTCAACCCCCCCGTCCCCGCGCGAATCAGCAGGCGCGATCACCGCGACGATGACGGATATATCTGTGTGCGGTCAGCTCGCGTTCTTGTTCTCACAATGAGGCGCACGCACCATCATTCTTCCCCCCGCGATACACCCGCCCCGTCTCGCGCGCGCGCCGCGCAAACGGCGTCTCGTCCTCGTCCTCGTCCCCTTCCTTTCCCTCCTTTCCCTCCTTTGCCTCTTGGACACCGACCGGCTCTTCCGGCACGCCGGGGAGCGCATCAGTGCCCGAAGCAGCAGCCCCTCTCGCACCAGAACCAGAAGAGGGTGAGGATGCCGTACACCCCCGCCCCCGCTCCCGCCCCGCCCTCCTCGTCGCCACCCGCCGCGCGCGCGAACACAGCGCCTCGCTCAGCATCCCCGCGAGCGTCCGCCGGCGCAGCCGCAGCGCGTCGCCGTCCGCTTCCGCCTCTGTTTCCGTCCCCTCGCGCGCGCCCCCGTCCGCCTCGCCCGGTGCCGCAGGCGCCGCCGCAGGAAACCCCGCCCACACCCCCCCGCACCGCCGCACCTCCTCGAGCACCTCCTCGTCCCACAGATTGTCGCTCAGCCCGTCGCTCGCGAGGATCAGCACGTCGCCCGCCTGCACCGGCAGCGTGAACAGCCGCGCGAGCGCCGTCGGCGTGTTTGCACCGGTTGGCGTCCGCGCGCCGCCTCTTGCGCCCGGTCCCTTTGTGCCCCCGAACGAGGACGTGGGCGGGGCGGAGAACGCCTCCCACCACGTCCTCGCCTCTCCTGGCGTGGCGGAGCCCGAAGTAGCCGCGGCACTCAGCTGCACAGGCGTATTCCACCGCCACCACATCTCCTCGCTCCGCCACGCGACCTCGCCGCCCCTTACGAGCATCCCCATGCAGTCCCCGACGTGCGCGATCTTGAGCACGGGGTGCAGGAGCTCCTCCGCCGCGGTCTGGGTCTGCGCGCCCGTCGCTTCGTCTCTTGTTTTGCCAGATTCGGAGTCAGGGGCAGAAGAGGGCGGGGACAGTTGCGACACCCCCTCGCGCAGCAGATTTTTACGCGTAGTCGACCTTCCCTCCGCCGCCGCGCGCCCACACGCCGAATACGGAACCGCCCCCTCATGCCCGCCGAGCTCCCCCACCGGCACATAATCCAGCACCGCCACGAGCGCCGTGCTGCTCCCCGCCAGGAGGGGGATCGTCCGCGGGCGCGGCTCCGGCGCTTTGTGCTTCCCTCTGGGGCTCGCGGCCCCGTTCTCCCGCTGCCGCCACATGTCCGCCCACGCGCCGTCGTCTCTCCGCTCTCCCCTCCCCCCGTCCCGCGTCGGTGTTTCCGACGCCGATGCAGAGGGAGATGTAGCGGGGGGATAAAGCGGAGAAGGAGAGGATGTAGACGGCGCAGGCACGACATGCGCGCCCAACGTCCTTTCATACGCCCGTTCCAGTATATTCAGCACGTCGATCCCGTCCGCCAACGCATCGAGGTGCGCCGCGAGCGCCGCCTCGGGGTCCGCCCCGTCGTACTCGTCCTCTTGCGCGCCAAACTCGCTGTACTGGTCCCACGGGGCGGTGTACGCGAACGAGGGTGCGGCGGGCGGCGGCGGGGGCGGGAGGGTGCCGTAGTACGCGGCGTACGGGGCGGCCGCGGACGCGGGGTGCTGCCAGGGCGAGGCCCACCCGCGCGTCCGTGGATGCGGTGGCGGCTCCCACCCGGCGACGACCTCCTGTTGCTGCTGTTCGGTATGCGCGTAGGCGCGGTCGACCTCGTCTGCGCAAAAGTGCATGAGGCGGCGGGCGAAGAGGGCCGAGGCGGAGGGGCCGGGGGCTGGGATGTTTAGTTAGCATTGGGAGAAGAGGAAGTGAGGAACCAAGTGCCAGCCAGGCGGTCAGCAATCTAAGAAATAAGATCACGGCTGCCCAAAAGTCCGCGAGGGATTTCCGCCATTCCGCGGCGAGACAGGAAAAATAAAGAAATTGGGAGGAAGGGAAACTCACCACCCAAGTGCTGACCCTTCACTCTCGCCCACCCACCAACGCCATCCGCCACACCCATTGCATCCGCCCTTACGAAATACGCGTCCTCGCCGACCTGCACTGCCAGCGGGGCGTCCGTCGCCATCATATACGCACTTCTCTGCTGCTGCCCCCGATGCGGCCGCTTCGGAATCCCATACGCCCCCACCTCCAGCACATACCGCCCCCGTCCCCGTCCCCTCCCTCGACCGCACCCTGCCTCCGCGGTCGGCGCAGCGGCGGGGATATGCGGCACACCGGACGCATGGGGGAAGCGGGCGCTGCCGAGGAGGGCGAGCTGTGGCTCGTGGCCCTTGCTCGGTGCGGGCTGCGGCGGGGCGAGTGCGAGCGCGCCGCTGCCCCCGGCGTTCCCCGAGTTGCTGCTGTGCGTCTCGCCGCGGCCCTCAATCGGGAGGCGCTGTGTGGTGAGGAGCGGGCCGGTGCGTGTATTTGGGGGTGGCGGCGGCGGCGGGGTGTCGAAGAAGCCTTGCGGGAGGGATGTGGACGTTGTTTGGTAGAGGCGGGAGACAGCCGCAGGCGAGTTGGAGATGGAACTGGCGCGGACCCGGGATGGCGATGGGCGCGGGAGGGCGGCATACAGTCGCGGTGTGCGCTTCATGGCAGAAGGTGAAAGATGATCCCGGTTCAGCCCGTGCACCAGCAAAAATCTGCTCGTGTGACAGTGACGTCGTCATTCCGCGTTCTTCCGGTCCAATCATTGTTCGGCCTCTTTTTCTTCCGCGGCTTGCCGAATCTCAAACACACTCAGCTGATAAATCCCGGCCTCCACGCATCCCGCTTCTGCCCACTCCGGCGATACGTAGGCCCTCAGAAATCCATAAATACGACCCTAGCATTCTAAGGCTTTGTGCCAGTACGTATCCTCCTGTGGCAAAAATTCGCTCCCGGATATGTATTTCCACTCTACGTACATCTTGTAGCTCGCCGCCCGTCTTGTATGCCCTCGGCAGGAGTTGAACCTGCATCTCAAGAAATATCTGTAATATCTGTCACCAAACACAGCTTTGAGATGATCTCCACTGATCCACAAGGGCTGGCATACCAATGAAAGAGGAGGTATGGGTGTAGATCATTTTGTATGCATTAAAATTCCCAAGGAAAGATGCAGCGGTCCGGATCCAGAGCGCAAAATCGGGATACTGTCGATAGAGCAAAAGACAGAGAATCGGAAGGCAAAAAAGAGAAGGACAATTGTTATGCCCGTGGCAGGAATCGAACCTGCATCTCCTCAAGAAATCAGATCTAGAGAACGCAACTATCACATTGAGGTGATCTCCCACTGATCCACAGGGCTACTCTGAGCACCAACATGAATTGCTAAGGGTTGTACTATGTCTGTATGCCAACTGCACGCCAAGTTCACGAAAACTGCTGTTCAACTAAAGAGAAAGAAGAGGCAAGAACGAGAAACCAAGAAGGAAAATACCCTCTGGCATGAAGGACCGGATTTGCACCTCTTCACAAAATCCATGCTCTTCCATATCCCACTCGTAAATTCGAGGTCATGTCCCACTAATCCATGAGGAGTGGCAGGACGAAGATTCTCGACGATTTGAATTTTGAGGTAATTAGCCGATACGCGGCGTTGGAACGAAAAAAAGGGAAGAGAAGAAAAAAAGTGATCGTCAGATCTTATGCCCTTGGCAGGAATCGAACCCGCATCTCTTCACGTAATCCCTACAGATCCAGTTTAACATGTTGAAGTGATCTCCCATTGATCCACAAGGGCTTGCATGCTGCCCAAGTGTTGTTGGTAAGGAGGTAGGAGGACAAAGAGTTTCCAACATCGGTTTAAAATTACTGTGCGGGTCGTTTATTTCAGAGCTCGGCACTCCCGGTGTTTTCAATGCGCTGTAGCTTGCGCTGGATGATGTTTCAACAAGCAGAAACATGAAGGGGGAAGGAGGGCTTTGGATTTGAGCCAGATTCGATTTTGAACCACGTGCACGTGACTTGGTTGAATTTAGCTTGAGTACCGTACACGAATTCATTCAATCGACCAGTACAGCTGGGGGGCAAAATGAAACGATTAAATCAGGCATGCGGGCAGGCCTGTCATGGGTTTGCCTCTCAATCACCGAAGTCACCGGAACAGGGTGCCGGAACCAAGATGGAAGATCACTGCCATGACAAAAGATTCGCACACCGCAGCACGCACCAGCGTCTACGGGGTCGACGACCTTATTGCGAATCTACGCGGTCCACCCTCTACTTTCTAGGCCGGGCATGTCACTCCAATCGGTACACAGAACTACGCTAAACAATATTGCTCAAGCACGTGGCCTTTCCATACAATATGCGGAGTCGTCTGCGGGACCCCTGCACGACATGCACTGGACATCCATCATTTATGGTAATTTGTATCTGCTGGAATCGGCCAAAGTCTGACCCCTGTGCATAGTAAATCAGGCCGAATATGGCCGAGGATCTGGGAGGACGAGAAGTGACGCTCGAGAGGCTGCAGCCGGACGATCGCTGGTTCTCATAGCACAGAAGGACCGCCACAGTGACGTCTTCTCTCTTTATCGTTCAAAAATATTATTGAAACGGATCCAGGGGCTACATACCCGGGCCGGTCGAGAGAGACAGGGACTCGGACAAATCCTCCAAACCCACCGATGGCACGGCAGAGCCCGACAACATCCCTCAGGCTCCCAATCCTTCAGAAGCAGACGCACTTGTCAACGATACAGTCGACTCGGAGAGAGACAGGGACGGATCCTCTAATCACACCGATGGCACGGCGGAGCATCCCTGAGGATCCCAATCCTTCGGAAGCAGACACACTTGCCGATGATACAGTCGACTCGAACAGACCCTCTAAACCCACTGATGGCACAGCAGAGCCCGACGACATCCCTCAGGATCCCAATCCTTCGGAAGCAGACACACTTGCTGATGATACAGTTGACTCAGAGAGAGACAGGGACGAATCCTCAAATCCCACCGATGGCACGGTGGAGCCCAACGACATCCCTCAGGATCCCGATCCTTCGGAAGCAGGCACACTTGCCGGCGATACAGTCGACTCGGACGAATCCTCTAATCCCACTGATGGGGGCAAAGATGACAGGGCGGATGACATGCAGGTAAACTATTTTCAAAATACAGTGGCCATTTCAATCCTAATCATGCACGAGAACATAACACTCAATGTGAAGGACATCAATAAGAAAGATATATTCGTATCTTTGCCAATGGAGCGTTGCCGGGTATGGGAGGTCAGAATCTGTCATTTTTGATTCATCTCGTGGTACTGCGGGATAACGGCATCATTTTTCAGACCTTCCGCAATCGACTGTTAGAGCAAGAGGTTCAACCACTGCAATATATCGAACGTGACGAGTTTGTACTGGTAGTGGTGGCAGACAGATTTGAAACCTCGGGCTGGCAAGGAGTCGAAGACCGGAAGAATTGGATATCTCAAGAAGACTGGGCGGATTGGGTATCCCCTTTTTGTTCTGCCACGGTGCCAACTCTTCTGCCGCCGGTTGCGATACGCCTTATTCGACCCGGCGATGGGCCCTGTTGTGACCAGCCGACTGAGGATACGAACAGCTTGAAATGGTGTGTTAATTTGGCACTTATTGCATACTACTAGCTCCTTGACGCTCATGGAATAGTGCTAATTGTAAAACACAATTTGTCAACTTGCCAGTGCCAAATGATTCGGATATTGAATCATCGACTCCGACACTGACAGCAACATCTCGCCTACTGAATGCATCGACCTCAAACCCAGTGATAACTACTGTGCTGAAATCAACTCTAACAACCTTACCCAAATTTACTGCCGAAAATTCAGTTATGCGACGTCGTAGACAACATTTTGAACGGGAAGAGCACGTTTACCCTCCTGTTCGGGTTGCTTCACCGGAGCCCGATCCAGAGGACAATGAGCGAAGGTCTGCAGGCCGGTTGCTGCGGCTACAGCCACGGAGCGTCATCGATTGGCTGAGTGCTCCCTACACTTTTATGATCGCTCCTCCTTTTTTGTGTCCTGAAGAAGTCGCCTGGGACACGCAGGGTCAACGATTGGACAACCGCTTGAATGCTTTTCAAAGTTGGATATGGGGTGCCAATGCAGCCCTGTTCGCGTAGGCGATTTATACTTTCTGAAAAGAGAAGTTTTGATTCAAGATGTGGGCAGTTTTGCTGCGGCACTGCTTGCTCTCTCAGATGTCACAACCATTCCTCAGAGTTTCGTGATGTTGAGCGCTATCTTTGCGTTTTTCGGGTTCATTTATACTGTATTTTTGGCCTTCCACGTTGGAGATTCGAAGGAAGAATTCTCCAGGTGGTTTCATGTACTATGTTCTGGTCTATTTTGCAGAAATGATCGACTAAACAATGCAACAGGAGCACCCGAACCTGCGACACACCTCTGGATCATTTTGGAATTTGACTATAATGATGTCTCTACCACTCACATGGATGGCTCGGTAAACGGCAATCATGATTCTGCAAGACAAGATTTTGAACTGAAGTTTATAGGGCAATTCTCAGCCTCTGTCTTGGTGGTCTAAGCTACTCAATACAGCGACTTATAAGCACCGATACCGCTGGGCTCAGTTCCACGCCATTCAGCAAAATTCAATTCACCTTATTCTTGGTGGTATTCGCAGAGAGCGTTACATGTAATTTGATGGTTTATCTTGAAGTTCGCAAGTACGGACGCAGCTTGAAACACAGGCGCCAAAACTCACGGGCTGGGAGTAGTTTGGGCACGGTTATAGTGTGAAAACCTGCCTCTCTTCAGGAAATACATGTACCCAGTTTAACACGTTGAAGTGATCTCCCATTGGGCTTGTATTTTTCTGGCATGATTGGGAGAGAAAGGAGGTAGGAGCCTTCCAACAATACGAAGAATAAAGCGGATAGGGCCGACAAGCGGCACGGCCCGCTACCATTGTCTTGGGGTGGTGCACAAATTTCTGAGATGGCCCAACCCTCGCTCGGTCGACGCGCCAGCGTCCAGCTTCCATTGGGTGCATAATTTTTATGGAATAATTATGGAAATCATCTTGTTTGGGGGTCGTCTCCGTACTTGGGACATCTTCTGGAGAAACTATGACGTAGTAGTGATGGCGGCTCGTGTAAGTAAATTAAAACCAGAGATTGACCGGCGGTCTGTCTACGGACACTTTTCTCGTCGGTTACAGATCTATCTGCCGACCTGCAAACCACCCAGAAGGCAAAAAAGCAACAACCTGTAGCGAAAAGGGCCGCGCCGGCGGACCGGAAAAAGCTTGCGATCAAACACGTACACGACAAGCGCGACTATTCCCACGGCCTACTTCAAGCCTAACACCATCGCTGCTGCTGTTCCGACGCAACTGCTATCCCCCTGACTGACTACATCTGGGTCACTGAACACCATCCAATACTTAAAGGGCAAGCTGAGTCGACTGCCCGGACGTGAAACCAACGGATTGAACTACTAGTATCGCGCGACGAGTCAGGCGTGGGCTCTGAGAGCTGCGGCGGCTTCGAATTCAGTGTCGCAAATGGTGGGGGGATTCAAACATGGAAGGGTACAACCCTCCTACTCTCCATATTTGCTGGGCCCGCCTGGCTCGAGAGTCCGCTCCTATATCCAGCGGCCCAGGGTTCAGGCCGAAATCTTGCTGAAATCCCTTCGCCGCGCATTTTTTGGCAACAGTCGGCCCACGCGTCGTTGGTCACCGAATCTACCACAAACAGCTGGATTTACATTGTTTACACTGGGGCCGGCCACGCCACAAAATCTCGCTAAGAGGAGGAAGATACGCATTCCTGCGAAGAACAACTTCCGCAGGTCGAGCACGCAAGGTGCACCCACGCGCCGGTTTTGGCTGTATATCGTCGGACAAATCACTGACGAGCGGACTCTCTGAGCGTGTACAACTGGATGAGGCCGGTGCATCACCAGACGCGCTCACCAGAGGAGATGTGTATCCGCGAAGTTGCGACGTTTGAATTCCCGGCTAAGCGCCCGTTGTAGACGGCAAGGACAACCACCACATATGCCAGCAGCGCTCCTGCGGACGATTTGCCAATATACAGGGAGCTTCGAATGCCCGAATAGCCCAGCCAAGGATTGTCCGGCATTAATTCCCCGGCCGCGTTGCCCGCCAATTTTCCACCTTGTGGAGAGTGATCCTTACGGAGGACACGGAAGACTTTTGGATCGACACTCTGGCCAAGAGAAAACCATTGGTTTCAAAACGCGTCTTGGTCTGTATTTGTGGGAAGGATATTTGGGAAGGCGTCAGCGTCCCGATGTCAATCTTTAACCAGTAGCTCCGGATGGATTCCAGAAGGCAAAGGACGCGCTAGTTTCAGGCTGTTACCCCATACGCAATTTCCTTCGATCGAGTTGATGATACCAAAGTCGGCGAGTTTTCTAGCCGGAGATCATCATACTAGCTCAGCGTCGTTCACAAATGTTTCAAGTCCGGCGCTCTGCGAAGGCTACGCCCGTTGCCAGATCCATACTCATACTGACATCAACTTCGGACCGGCGGCATGGATGAATAACCTCAGGGCTCGCTCACTACGACAGTCCTCGATCTGTGTATAGGGATCCTAAAAATGTTTCACATTGGCGCAAACATACCTGACAAGCATAGCTGAGCCACGGGCACGGGCATGACAGACTCGGGGATCCATTATATTTAGTTATGCACCGCCGGTAACGTCATACATGAAAAGCTCGGAACTGTCAAGGATTGGCGCTGAATTTACACT